CAATTATGCTATGATCATTTCTAGGGAGCTCACAGCTGTTTAAATGGTTGCTGTAAATCAAAACCTTGCCTTCATGGCGGCACATGCATGGAAAAATGTGATGACGTCAGAGAACGGTACGCCTGCGCATGCCCAAATCACTACCAGGGAAAGCGATGCGAGATATTTCACCCAGAAGTAAGCTCGTGCCAAGCTTACATAAAGTTGAAACCAGGATCTCTCTCGGGTGTTTATGGCCTTAATGACACTATTCAGACTTATTGTGACTTTGATTCTGAAGCTGGAAAAGCCTGGACTCTGATTGAATCGTTCTCTCTGGCAAACAAGGCACTTTATCGAAATCAACCATTTTATTACAACTTTACCCAAAACGAGAGAAATTTTAACTGGAGCAACTTTCGATTGTCTAACCAAACTATGGTTAACATCCGGGACAACTCGACGCACTGGCGCGTGACATGCGACTTCCCATCAGGCCTCAATTTCACTGACTACGCACGCGCGTCTCTTCTAGAAACAGATATTCTCACATTTGTCAATCAAGACCAATGCAGGAGATACGAGTTCATATCAGTCCGTGGAATAAGCTGCTCCAATTGCACGGGAATGCTGGTTCAAAGAGATAACCAGCATATGCACACAGACTCATACTGGAGCGGACTAAACCGCTGTCAATGGAATCCGGGGTCTGGTGCAGTAACGAACGAAGATAATTTTGGTTTTTATAACGTTATCAACCCGCAGCACAAGTGCACGGAGAAACCTCATTCTACCACACAGTGGTGGCTTGGATCAGAAATCTAAAACTGTTCAGCTGAAGATCTGTACTGTTTAATTCAAGAAAGATCAGCTTCTTTCGATCTTCGGCTTATCGCTGTAACGATATATATCACCTTAGGGGTTAGGGTAGGGGTTTCTTAGCAACAAAGTCTTATGAAAACATCCTTTAAGCTTGCTAGCTAGCCTAGATGGTGCATACGAGGCTTTTAACTTAGAAATTGGTAAAAGGGCAAAGGCCTGGGAAAAAAGTTGTGCATTCACAAAATGAAAGGACAAAAACTATGGGATAATACTCGATTGAAAAACTCTCCATGAAGTTTAAAAGGAGACTCTGATCTTGAACAGTCTAAAACTTGAAACTGGGGATCAGTTTACTTGACATTTTTCCTAAGATTTTAGTTGGTGCCTGTCGAGTCTCCTCCTCAGCTTGTTTCTGTTGACTAATCGTTTGGAGAAGTTTTGCTTGTTCTCCCAACAGCTCATATATTCCTTTGATTCTGCAAGGTGAACCGCAAAAAAGGTTATTATTTAGCCTGCTGCTGTTAGGTTTTATTTAAATCTATCTTTTATTCACCTAAGCCCTATTGCCAACCATTTTTCCCGTCCAGATATATGTCAGTCTTCTCTTCTCGAATAGTTTTAAGTTGTTCTGAGTAACTTTAATCTAGCTGTCTCCCAAGATTTTTTAATACTCGTTTATCAGAAATAATAAGGTTGTAGTTAAATTCAAGAAGTATATGCGCATATTGGAATTGAGTTCATTCTCGTCTCCGTGGCCCATTCCGCGTCTCTTAGCCGGTGGGGTCTTGGCACGAGAAACGAAGCGCTCTGTCTCGTGACAAGGCCCTATCGACTAAGAGACACATAAAGGACTCTGGGGACGAGAATGTGTGAGGTTTTATTTTCACAGCTTTTGCTCAGTTGTGTAAGTCTCGAACGTCCAATTGCAAGCCGCGGCAATGGAATTTTAATGATAGCTTTTTGACCAACGTATTCAGACGAAATGCTCAAGGATTTTGTAATCCTGTGAAGCGTCATCAAATTTTTTGGACTCGAAAAGACAGGACACTGATTGGAGTTTCACCATTACTTTTTCAATAAACCATACTAGTTGAAAAAGACTTGTCTGTTACATTACGTGAAAAGCGACTGATCAACGGCAGTCTCAAGTCCCCGGGGGATACTCCCTATAATGGCCTATACGGGGAGGCTCCCGTCCGAAAGGGGTACATTTTTCAGGCCTCAGGTTCATCAATGGGTAGAGATTTCACAAGTTGAGGTATATGAAAGGGTAGGGAAATCTGTCAATTAGTTATTCTAAAGGGCCTTTAATTAAAATATTTCGAATAGACGCATCTCATGGCTGTGTCATTTCATTTATTAGGCACTACATGAAAATGACAAAAAGATTTCCTTTTTTTGGCAATTTATTCACGATACGGGCCAGTTATGAAAGTATGTGGGGGGCCAAATGGGTGCTTTTTCTAAATTAAAGGTACACGGAAGGAGTACCTTTTCTTTGTAATTGCTATACAAAAGGGTAAGGGGTTGGACCTCAAAGCGGAGCCTCCCCGATAAGACGTTGTAGAGTATACCCCGGGGTCTCAAGTCTCACTGGCCTAAAATAAATCAATAACGTACACATCTCCCTAATGAGTTCTTCACGGTGCATAGCACACACTCGTACCTGTTCTCCTGCTCTTCCATTCTGTCCAGGAGCGGCTGAAATTCAGGAGGGAGCTCTGGGGTTGAATAATCTTCCTCTTCTTCTTCTGTTGGTCGACTAAAGCCTAAAAGCTGCTCATAGAGCTGATATGAAAAATAACATCATAAGACTAACATTTTCTCTTTAGTGGCCAGCGCAAATAGCTTATGTTTGCAGAAGGTGATTGAATAATACAGGATAATACAGCTAAACGAACGGTTCAAAACTACTATACATGCATGCTTAGGACACCAGAAGAGCAGGGGAGTAAGGATGGCGCAGTGGAGAGAGCCCTCGCCTCTAGCTAGAAGTTCAGTCACAGATCAGAAGCGAACATCTCCAAATCTAAGTCAGTGGACCGTCCTATTTTTATTAAGGGGTGACCAACTAATTGCGAACATGAAGAAGTGTATTAAAGAAGTTAAATAAGAACTTGAATAAAGGTGAATTAAAATACCTTGGATGCATCCCTGTTTGGATATTCCACGTGTTTTGTAACATTTGCTCTCTTAGCAAAAGATTCAGGGACTGTTTCCTCCATATCTAAAACCATCTCGACCTGAAAGGTGAAAAGAGAGAAAATAAAGAACCATTATTCAACTTACTGTCTGTACTTATTTGTTAAAATTAGATTTGTCTATGGTTAAAATAAATTTGTTATACCTCCAAATTCAAATACGTTTTCCGATTGTTGTAGAATGTGTCACATGTCATGGGTCAAAACTCCCTGACTCCCTAAAGGGCGAATACAACTGACTAACTCCTTAGAGAAAAACAACTTGAACATTCGACTCGCACGTGATCAGGTAGGCTCGATTACCAGCCGCTGTTCGGGAAAGGAGTCCGCGCTCCTCGAGGAACGTAGACCGCACTCGAGAAAGCGGCGGAAATCGAGCTTAGTGATCAGGTCGTTCACCTTGAAGCCGCGGCAAAATTTGTGAGCCAGCCGACGTCAAGCAAATATTTTTTTCCAGTTTTCAGTTGGAAGCGAGCATAACAAAATACTTTATGACTGTCCCGCGCGAAGCATTGAGGGTCTCGGGGAAACAAAACTCACCGGGTCAGTCATTATAAGTGCTTATTAATTGCTCTGGGTATTCTGAGGAATCGTGTTCCCATTGTAGTCTGGGTTGTTCTACCTGCATGACGTAGCGATCAATCAACGCATTGACTTGAATCTTGTCAATATCTCCCACTGCGAGACCGACCTGGAAATCACATGAAAAAATAGAATACATGTTCACGAATGAATATGTAAATGATTCCCATAGCTCTCGCGATATTTTGACCTGTAGTGGCGTAGTACGTAGCTGCCACAAAAATATTTATAGTTGTAGCTTCCGTTGTTTTGGACGTAAAAACATAACAATATATAGCCATTTGTGATTTATAGAGACTTGATTTAAGGTGGGTAAGCACTTAATAGCTAAAGTTTGTGGCCCTCGGAAAATAAAATTACAAACCTAATGAAAAATGAACTACTATGAATACAAATGTACAATTAAATGAAAGTTAAAAACCTAAAATAGAGACGCGAATAGTCGAATTACATTAATATTAAAAACTTCCTTAAATATAGATATAAAAGCTAAATCCTTAAATGGTCTGCGCTGCGAAGATCATTTTAAATAAATGAGTTTTTGAACACTTAACGGATTCTGATTTTCTGGTATTTAGAGGTACATTGTACATCATACTGGGGTACAGAGGGTTTAAATGGGCACAATTAATGAATTTTGTCCTCCATAGACTCGAAATTTGAGATCATCATCTAGGAATGTTACTTACCAACATGTTCATAAGAATGATGGGCATTCCCAGCACAAACAAAAAGAACAGGATATTCGTCAGCGTAGCGTATTCCAGTTTACCCCACGGCATAAACGTGTCGGCGTAGTTGAGTTCACCGAGCGTCATCACAAATATGGTCATCATGGAATACGGAAAAGTTGAGTAGGTCTCCTGAAAATGATAACAATTGTGTTTAACGTTGTGTGCATGCGTGCAGGTTTTTGTTCAAACCGAAGAGAGATGTTGTAACACGGCGTCTTTAAAATGGCGCGTATTTGACATTTTTATATACGCAGGTAAGTAATGTTAACCGTTAACCAGTAACTGCAAGCTAAGTAAAAAGGCTTAAATGATTGTAAACGTTTCATGAAACATTTTTTTTTT